CAGACTAAAACCCACCATACCGTCCGACACCACCGCTAATTGTGCACAATGGCCTATTCATCTCAAAACGAAGTGTGTGAGACTTACTCGCAGTTACCTCCACAAAGCATTCCTCAATCAGCAACAGGGGAACGCGCCCCCGTAGTCTGCAACTCGGTCACGGTTGAACAACTGCTCTCGAAGCTGTACAACCGCACTACAAGACGTTTAGCCGAGGACTTCCGTGAGTATCACCCAGTGTGCCTGGGTCGTAAACCAAATAGAAACAACCACTGCGATCGTCACTTATCTGACCCGAACTAGTCACTCGGTTATCATCCCAAAAGCCCTCTGTCTGATCTATCGTGTTAGGGGAGTTCGCTCGAAACTGACCAAGTACCGCATACTGGTAATAACAGAGGCGATCGCAATCCTTCTTAACCACCCTCGTCCGACTGTGCACAAACAATTCGTGACGACTCTGGTCGTCAGACACGATCGTGTAAACAAGTCAAAACACGATTATCATTTTCACTCTCACTTACATTTCTGCTGATTGAATGAATCAAGGGAGGCAGAATCTGAGTAAAGAATTCTTTTCGGTAATTCTCATCAGACTCAAACATTACATGATAACAAAGCACTAAATATGCCGGATTGGGCTGCGTATTGATCAAAATGTTTAATCCCAACAGGAACAAATTAATAAACCACGAGGTCATTGAAGGTGGCAAATTACGTACTGGGGAAATCACAGCAGAAGTTTTAATCCACAGTAGAAGTAAAGAACGTACAAACTGTTTTGGTACACACAATTCTGGCTTGAGGTGGCGAATATAGATAGCTTCCGCAATTGACAAAAGGTGCTTCCTGAATCCGTGCGAGAAACGTTCAGGGATAGTACAGAGGACTTTGAAATTGTTTTCCGTCCCTGCGTGACCGCAATCTAGGAGGTGCGACAGGATGGACTTGTTACTAGACATCGCTTCGCCTTTGTAAAACCATACCGGGATGTGTTCGCGAATTCTATGGGATAGGCGCCTCGTAGTACGACCCACGTATCGTTCACCACAGGAGCACGAGTATATATAAACAAGCATTGAGCGAGTCACCGGAGGCAGCCTGTCTTTCCAAGGTTTTTCGAATAAGGCATGTTGTAGTGTACTGTACGTAGGAGAACTGCGAGATAAGTCTTTTCAACAACCTTTTTCAGACGTTTGGACAGGGCATCAGCCGTATTGTCGATTTTGAACGGAAAATGCACCATTAATCCTTTCTTGGATGCATTCAGCCTCGGTGCTTGCGTTCTTTCAAATGTTTGAGAATTAATTTACAGCCCAACTCCCTTTATTGCCCACCATCGGGATATCTCAAAAGTGGGCCATAATGCGGAGTGGGCACTTAACGGATGTTGCCAAAAGGGAAACAACCATTGCATTATTGTACAGTATATCACTTGAATTTTAACGTGATAAGAAAGATAAAATACGTACTTTTAACTGAAGCCTACAAAAGACGTTTATTCAGAAGTGCATGACCTAAAATTTAAATGTTATAACATAAGGCATCTTACCTGGATTGCTATATAAACTGGTGCTGAGAGGACAGTCCAACATCAGTTGTATGTTATTTCGTGCAGATACCCCGGTCACTTTTGCTCTGCTGAAGCCCAGTTGGGATAAGAAATCATTGCCGTACCCACGCAAAAATCCGTAGCTACACAGATCATTCGCACAGTTATTTGCTCTTGAATGCGACACGCGCTGATCGCTGTTACTTTCTTAAGCATCCGGCACGTCATCCTCTGAGTCGCTGCTTTCTTTCTAGTCGGTTTTTTAAAATTTTACTGACGATTTCATCGCCAACAGTTGCCAAATCTGAGGTACATTCCACATCGTTGTCACTAACGATGAACTCTTCTGCATTCATTACTGGGGTTGTGCAAGCGCTGATCTCGTCTTCGGCGATGACGGCGTCATCAGTAGGTGCATCGGCTTCTAGTCGACTGAAGCGAGCATGCCGAAAGCACGCTTTTATTCTTGCACCGGTAATCTGTCTCCAACTTTTTGCAACAAACGTAGTTGCATTGCGCACAGAAATCTTGGCGTTGACATGCACCACCGATGATGAGCCAGGAAACACGTTGTTTTAGATCCGATAAGGAATTCGGTCCACCATTTCCTTTCTGTAACGGGTTCTCAGCTTCATAATCACACTTTGCTCCATGGGTTGAAGAATGCTGACCGAATTTGCTTTCAAAAATTCCATTTGCATGTCTTTCAGTCCTACCTGTGGATGCGCTGTGCAATTGTCCAAGAGCAACTTAACTTTTCGACCACATTGGCCTAGCTCCTTGTCCCATTCGAGGACCCACTCGGTAAAAATTTCTTTCGACATTCACGAATTTTTGTCAGCTCTATAAGTTACGGGAAGTGTAAGTACATTCACGCCATTAAAACATCGTGCTTTCTTACATCTTAAATCAATACTATATTTCTTTTCTCCGTGCCTGACATTCACGCAGCACAGGACAGTGATCCTATCCATGACTTTTTCGATCTGCTGCGCTTGTCGGCAGCAAAACACAAAGAGCATTCTGGACTTGCACGGCAAAAATGACCTGTTTCGTCTGCATTCTACACCTTCTCATCATACAAAACATTTGAAGTTCAGGCAGTCTATCTTTCAGCTACTTTTCACAGACTGCTCTGTCTGCAGAACTCTTTTCGCCATGTGCACCTTTATACACAATTTGAATTCTATTCTTCCATCTCCGCAATCGTCCTTCTGTGGCAGCACAGGTTTTTCCAAGTTCTTCACCGAATTCTTCTACCTTTTTCTTCAGAAGCGGGCCTGTAACTGTTTGGTTGTGCTCACTTACCGATATCATCCAGTCTTTCAATGCAGTTTCTTCTTCATCCTTTCCACATCGCTTCCTTTTCTGAGAGCTTGCAGTGCCATGCGACAAATTCTGCAGGAGTTCCTTTTTACTGTTACTCAATCTGGCTTGGGTAGGACGAGAAATGTATAAATCCCGTGACAGCTTGACCTGCAAGATTCCTGGTGGATGTGTTTTAATTTGTCCAAAACGTCCAACCTTTCAGTCAAGGGCAAATCCTTTCTATTACTTTTTGTGTGTAACCAATAGAGTGGTGACAAATGTGGAGCGGAAAGTTTACCCGAGTTTGCTCAGTTCTCGAGTTTTGAGTAGGTTCGAGGGTTTGCCCACAGCCGTTCGTACATTTAGCATGCTCGTGTACTGAATGACATCGATAACCTTTTCTGGTCGGTCAATAACGTCACCGACATCTTTGTTTTCCTTGACTCGATCGGACTGGCTAACTGTGTTGCAGTCATAATAAAAGAATCAAAGAGAGGGCATAACCTTGACGAAGCGACAAGAGCATGACCCACGCAGCTGGGCAATTAAGCGGTGGGACGACCCCGAAAATGAGTGATTAGACGGTGAAAATTTAGCCTATTTATAAGAAACAAATTTGTATTTTGAAAAACTGGACAATAAAGCGAGGTGGGCTATTAACCGGGTGGGCAATAAAACGGCTTTGAATGTATCTGTATACCCATTTGCTCTTAGAGCGTCACCGATCCTCTGCAATTCTTTTGTGATAGTGTCCGGTGTGCAGATTTTGTGTGCCCGGAAGGCAAGAGTGCGAATTAGATTCCGTTTGTACTGTAATGCTGCCTCACTATAGAAGTTGTTTAATGTTAGCTATGTAGACGTGTTGTATTTAACCAGACGATGAATCACCGAAAACGAGCCTTTTTGCTATACTGGCTTTTTATAGACAGGATCCATTAGAATCTATAAATTTTGCTAACGGGAAGTAAGTCTATTGCTACCGCAGGGGTGGAATTCTAGAGTTTTAAACCCCATGAGCTCTTCAGCGGCGTTTTAATCTGCTGCTTGGTTGTTGAAGGACCTAATGCTCGGGGTTGTCGAAGTGCTTGGAAAGCTGGTAGTTGGTCTGAGAGAAGTCTGGTGTGTAAGCTAGTTGAGGTAAAGTTTCTTATCCCTGTTCGCAGTCATTTTTGACACATATGGTCTGGTGTCTTCATGAAGAATTGTTCCATTTCGATTTATCGATGCTGGGCATAGTTGTTGCAATATTGGTGCATTTTCTCGTTTTCCTGGCAATGCGCTTCTGATGTGATGCTTTTAGCAGCGTTCGAGAAGTACTTGGGTATGATTTCACTTGCCTACCACAAAACGGTAACCACAATCTTAATTTTGATGCAGTTTTTGTTTGGGGATGTATTTGGATGCTCCATTAATGTTTAACCACTGCGTGGAACCCCCTTCGCTTTCCGTTAGAATTCACGCGTCGTCGTCTCTCACAATGCGATCAAGGAATTGATCACTTTTTGTTACGAAGAAGAAGCGTAGCGCTTTTGGTTTGGGTTCAACCCGCAATGCACACGTTTGCTCTTTTCTAATTTTCCATTTGTTGCACACCTCGGCCAATTGTTGAATGGTCAACATTTGGTTCTTCTGCCAACTCTTGATTTGTTTTACATAGGTCTACTTCAATAATAACCCTTAATTAGTTACCCTCAATTGCGGCGCTTCTAAGACCCTCGTCATCTTCAGGACTCTCTTCTCGTTTACGTTTTTGCAATCCATCTTGTTCTCTGCGTCCACTAACCGTCCCTGGCCAATTGTTTAGTTGGTATTACAAACAGTTTTTCTTGCTTTACGTCCCAGTATGGACTCACAATAGAATTGCTCAAATTTGCATTGCTTTCATCATTACTTTGATAGTCCAAAAATACCGCAATAAGCATTGACAACAATGCCGTCGGTATAGATCAGTAGGGCGAAATTCGATCTTCCTAGTTGCTTATCACATGAATATGGTTAAGTAGCATTTTATCAGGATAGCAGTTTTTACTACGACAGCCTTATCGGCTGTTGTTTTTGGAGGTCGAAACGGTATCATTCTTTAACTTCTTTAAATTAATGTCTGTTTGGTACTCATTTCTGACTACCTCTTTCGTTCCAGACGCCTGACGAACACATCGTGACAGCGAGCAGTGCATTAACTGTGGACGGATCTGGTGAACATCAAGACGAGCAGGGCGAAGTCGAGTGTCGGAAACGGATTACAGCGAGCGGAGACTGATCATCTTCGTCTTGAACAGTCTTATTGTCTCTGCGTTCTCAGCCTTAAACCTCATATGATTCAACTTATTGTTTGCCACATTGTCGTGTTTATATAATTGTTTTAGCGATACTCTTTGAATCGCTTTTGACGGCAACTTGGTGCAAATATGGGGTTGTGTGCTTTAAATGCCTGACACTTCGTTACGTTTTCTAACCTTTTACTTGCAAACAATGGTCCCGGCCAGTGGTCACGAACCTGTCGGAGCATCTGCGTTTGTGTCCAGTTCGATGTTTAGGCCTATTATCCACTAAGATGTTGATCAGCCGGTCAAAAAAGTATAGATTGTCCATCTGCAGCATGATTCACCAGAAACCAATAGTAGGTCAGCACTCTGAAATTCCGGTAGGAGTCAGTGTTTGTCAGTGTACACAGCCGATTCGAACATTTCCCCTATCTTAGGGAAACGCTTTGCGATGGATGTGACTGGGATGGTTGTTGTTGCGCGCTCTACAATGATTTCTTCTTATGAAACTGTTTTTGAAGCGTTACTTCATTGTGTTAAATCGCGTTGCCATAGGATAACCGTACAAAGGGTTCGGATGCTGAGAGTTTAAGTGAATCGTTCAAGTGGTTTAGAACACTATGAATGTGAGGACGCCACCGACAGTGCCATGGTTGATTCGACATCAGATGTGACCAACGCATAGGCTGCTATCCGGGGAAGAGGCTCTCACCAATCCCATTGTGAGCTCCGATTAGTATCTGTACGCTCTTTTGCTGTCACTAGCTGACCATCCCTGAGGTTTATTCGACTAGCTGCGGTATCATTAGACAATACAGGCCGAAACACTCAGCTTGCAGAGATGTGTGGACGGTTCGAATTCGAAGAGTACACCAATAGGGCACCGAAGGATTTGTCGCCAAGTACTGGCCGGTAAATTTCGGCATAAGTTATACGGTTCCAACTGTGGATATCTCATGCTTCTGCGAAAACTTCGCAACCTACATCTTTTCCAACCTGTACTTTTCTTACTCTGTTGCCTTGGCGGGATTACGCAATACACTGTCATGTGATAATTACGTCCTGATCTCAGAGACACTGTTACCAGGTCATCGACTGCTTGATCTATCAGTGTTGCTGTTTATCAGTGACAATTCAGCCACCCTACCAAATACTTTAGTCAACCGTTATCCATTGTGTTGGGAAGGAAATCTCTAGGAAAGCAGCGGAGGCGCCGATACGGAGCCAAAGCATGGCTGGCTCACCGGCCATGGATTGGATGAACCTTTGTCCAACTGGGTGAAATGGCCAATTAGCACGAGAGCGGCAGTGTCTGATTGATCGTAACTTGACTTCTAGATATTTCCATATGAGCTTTATCTATCGTTCACCCAAGTTCTCTTTGACCTTTATACTGGACAATGTGATTAGCTAATACATCTCGTTTCCTCACTGCTACTCCGAACCCGTCTTTTCTCTTTCCTGTGGAGGGCCAGTGACCTCGAGCTCCGATCAATAGCCAACCGTTCAACCAGGCGGGAGACGACCATCTCAGGGTGGCGGTTGCGTCATCCTGGCGACCAGCTTCCAAAAACATGACTTTCCGTGCTACAAAGACAAAGCTATACAATCCTTCCGTCGCCTTTGGCTTGAGCCGTAAAGCACTTTGGCTGAAGGTCACTGTCTTTGCTCTCGGGTGGTCGCAAGTAGTATTGCGGTGCCCGTGTTAACCTCTGTGCAGTGCGGTAGAAACCGTTAGGTGACTAATTCACACAGGCGAGCCAATGCTAATTCCATCAGTCATTTATACGCGCGGGGCACAGTCCATCGCTCGGACTAAGGTGCTGTATGCAAAGCGAGGGTGCTGCAACAGTTTTCCCCACCAGACCAAGCAACATTTCACAGTGGTAAGCCAGTCGCTTAGGGTGTTCAGTGTGCAAAGACCATACCGTTGATCAGTACAGTAACAGTACATCATAATTTTAGTAATTACCTTCGTACCCATAGACTAGCGAAACTTGGAAAAGTCACGAGCATTATCGATACTTTGCGCCACCTCGCCGGTGATTTGCTTGTTAGAGTCAGCATAACTATTTTGGTAAAATCGATTGACCACTTTCGGTGTTTCTTCTGCGATTTTGTGGACTGATAGTGTGTCGACTCAGGCTTGCAGTCGTGTCTTACACTTCGGAAATGCACATGCGCAGCGTTGTACATCAGTCAAGTAAATAACGCTTGACTATCAGCACTTGCGTTACAAGTGAAAAACTAACTTTATTTCCATGAGCGTATATGGTAGGACCACACACATGTTGGCGATGTTCATTCGTACTCGGTGACTTGTAATAATGCGTTTTGAATCAAGCCAGCGTCTTGTTAAAAAAGTGAGCACACGCACTAACTGTCAAAGTGATTATGAGTTGCGGAGTCAAGCACGGGCTCGGTTCAGCGACAGACCAACGCGTAGGATGTGCAACCTAACATTTCGAAACGGTCAGTAGACGATGTTGGCTGCTGGCTATGCACAACAACGTGGAGGTAGAGTAAAAAAAGAGATGGTGTATACCTGATCGTCCTAACTGATGAATTTAAGTTGGGCTTCTCATGCGTTCGTAGCAGGAACTTTATACAACGGAAGTATATTTCTCCTAACCTCTTCAAATAGAAGCATAACCATGCGCAGGTAGAATTGAATGAATAAGTGGTCGCTCTCCAACTAAGAATCACTACCTCAGTAAGCCGTCTGGCATCAACGCTGTTTAAGCATACGGCGAGACGTATAGATTTGGGGGGGGGGGTGGAAACCAGCCTGGTTTCGACAATCCTTTTCTCCATAACTATGTGTTGTCCGTGCACAACGTATTTGTGTTACGGTGGCTATGGTTGCAACTCCAACCTTTAACTACGAGGCGATCTTCGCCTTATTTCATGGATGAGGACGGTGGTCGGCACTCTGTGCTCTAAGTATCGTCGACCAGACGGGCTGAGCCACTTAGCAGTGTCAAGACTAGAAGTTAGCCGTAGTAGGTTGGCGAGTAGCCATACAGCGGAAACGGAAACTTGTACGAAGTACAGTGTGCTCAACAAATCACGCGAAACGTTTTACAGCGTAAGAAACAGCTAGGCGTGCATACATGCACGTACGAGATCAATCCGGTTCGAACCAGCTTAAGTCACCGATCGTTAGGCGGCACATGACAATCAGTTAATAAGTAGCCAGCGTTCTTCATCAATGCTGAGCGAAGGTTCTCTGGACAGAACACCTCCGTATTGGCGTGAATAACTCATGAAATCAGCTCACATATTGCGAAAGTTATGCTATCGTCGTAAATCTGCACACATCTAGGGTCTGAAAGGGATTCCGCTTGAGTTTACAGGCTCCTGCCGTTACTGAACCTGAGGTAGCTCCAATTCTGTAACGACTGTTACGGAGCGTCACCCATGTCGAGTCGCACAAACTTGTAGGCAATAATGACCTGTGCCGGTGAGTACTAGGCTCCGGTGGTCAGGTCAATTCCTTAGGTCACTGAGGGCGCCTGAATGGATTGCATTGGTTCGAATGCCTACAACGTATGTCCGCTAGTCCATACTCGGCTCTAGAGTGGCTCCAGGTCGGTAATCGTCGATCTGATAGCGGGTAATGAAGTCGCTGGCGATCCATGTCACCTCCCAAACTGGGTTCACACTACCCACTCCGTGCTTCAGTACAGATCTCACAGATGCTGCCTTGCAATCAGCACCAGTGATGCATTTCCTGTTGTCCCCTAGTAAGACTACTTACTTGAACTTTGTAGACTACTGAGCTATCTGTTCGATGAAGGTGTAAGTAACCCGGAACAGTGAAAGCGACAGGAAAGTCGCCCCACTGCTACTGCCTTATCTTCGCATTGTAGCCATCTGCTTGGAATCGTACAGTGTTTATTACGTTTCTGGCGCATTGAACCTAGCTTTTTACATAGGGCATTTAGCTTTCATATCAGATTCCATTCTCATAACTATTTCTTATTAAAAAGACCCTCAGTTTGTATGGTGGCGAAACCTCGGTACGTATAGTTTTTCGAGATTTTGGAACATATTTAGAGACAATGGAGAAATTGTGATTTCAGAGATCTTCAGTTTGGTGTGTTTGTAACATAACCTTTCGCTTTTGACAGAAGGTAATTTAGGAATGGTGCGGCATTTTGTAGGGAACGAAACTGATACTCGCGTTTACACTGACATGAGTCCGGGGTTCACTCTACTCTTAAGTCGTAGTATCACTTCGAGTGGTGCATTCGCAGAAGGAACTGGTGCTAAGTCTTCATGTCACCCTTATTTTTACCACTGAGCTTTATGTTGCATACATCAATCTTGTTCACCGCAATCGGGATACACAAATTTCATCTTACTCCGGATACAACTAAATCACTTAATATGTGTTTTGCTCACTTCTATTATTCTGCCATATATTCCGTGTCAATTTTGTATGTTTATTCTTCATCAGATTTTGCGTTGGTTGTTTAATGTCCCCGGGGTGTCTGTGACTGATTTGAATGCTTACAAGGTGCCTACCTGTCTATTCCCATCCACTTCGTCTGTACTAGCTACAGGATACAGTTAGTCGTTGCCGGGGGCGGGGTGCGTTCTTGTGATGGTGTTATGCTCAAAGAGTGGTTCCACGCACCCAGTGTGGAGCGGACCACGGCCCAGTCACCTTATTGTGTACATCTGTTACGTATCATTTCCCAGCTAGGCATGAATGCTTCTGCTCTGCCTGTTGAAGGAGTGAGGGCCTGCTCGGTTGATGAAACGCGGCTCCCATCACATGCCACTCAATCTTATTCCTTCGGCTTTACGGTATATATGGAGTGTGTGGATAGAGCCATAGGTGGTGCAGCGCAAGCCATCCATTATCCCTCAGTAGGCGCTGGCGTCCTGTGGTTGTCCTGGTGGAGGTCGTAATGGCAGGCAAATCTGGAACCGGATGCCACCAACCATATAAGGCATTGGAGGTAACAGCGTGCTATCTAAATGAGGACAGCGCTTTAGGTGAGAGACCGAGACTTACGGTTGACCAGACAGCGCAGGATAGGCTAGTGCGTTGTGATGAGATCATCTTGGAGAAGAAGATGCTTGCGGCTGGCCAAAA